CGCGGGGCCGCGAGTGGCCGGGGTCCGTGCAGGGGTCCGCGCCAAAGGCCGCCCGCGGCCTGGAACCGGACCCCGGCCACCACCGCCTCCGCCCAGCCTTACGGACAGCAGCTCGGAGGTGTCGGACTGCGCGTCGGAGGAGGCGCGCTTGCTGGGCCTGGAGCTGGCGCTGAGCAGCGACGCCGAGTCGGCGGCTGGGGGCCCGACGGGGGCCCGCGCAGGGCAGCCACCCCAGTCCGCGCCGCTCGCACAGCAGCCTCCGCGACCGCCCGCGTCCCCAGACGAGCCGTCGATGGCAGCGTCGTCGGTGGGCAGTAGCCGCCTGCCGCTCAGCGCCTCTCTCGCTTTCTCCGACCTCACCGAGGAGATGTTGGACTGCGGTCCCGGTGGCTTAGTGCGCGAGCTGGAGGAGCTACGCTCGGAGAACGACTATCTCAAGGTGGGGTGCTGGTGGGAGGTGGTAGGGAACCTCGGGTGGCTCCGGCTGTCACAGCCCCGCAGGCCTGAGGCACCAGCTGGCCCACTTTTCCACTCAGCGGACAGGAAGAATGGACTCACCCAGACCCCATGGGAACCACCCCGAGGGCAATCTGGGGCTCTCTGCCCCCACTTTATCTGGGGAGCCTTCCCTTAAGGAGGAATCTGGATGAGGAGTTTGGCCCCAAGGCCCAAATAGTTCTGGCGTTTGATTTGGGGGAGGGGGCTTGAGAAAGCTGCTTTGGAGAATGCTTAGATACGTTTCTGCTCGGAACCCCAGGCCTAGAAGCCAGGCCTGTGGTGGCTCTCTTTGGGGAGACAGGCTTGGTATGCCAGGGAAAGCTAATTGTGTGGCGGCCCTGTAGGAGCAGCCGCGGGCCGTCCCTGCCAAAGGGAGGCCAGAACACCATCCTGAGTCGTTACCCAGGGCTTTCCCGGCGCAGGCCTGTCCCCGCCTGCCTTTCAGGGCGGGTCCAGTTTGAAAGCATGACATCTGGGAACATCCCCTTGGCTAGAGTCCGACTTCCGCTCAGTCTAACGGTTCCACAGCCTGGGAGGATGATGTCGTGGGAGAACTGGTTCAGAGACAGCTTCCTAAATCCCAGAATGACCCCGCAGGGTGAAGAGTACAGGAAGAAGGGTCATGCTTATTGTCTTCTGCCCTCTACACAGAATCCCATAGGCCTCATGACCAGAACATGCCCTTCTCATGTTCCCAGTGAAAAGGGAAGCCTCCGACTGAAAGGGGCATTCCTTTGGCATATGGGGACCTGAGATTTTCTGGGAGGCCAGGCTTTGCCTTCACTTTCACTGACATGACCACTTAGCTGGTCAGCCCACCACTTTGCACCATGCAACTTTAGGGTCAGCCCAACCCTTATAACTAACTCTATGCCTTGGCCTGGGAGACTGGAAACCTCAGGCTCTGCCACCACTAGCTGGGCAGGATTCTGGAATTGGCTGAATTGTTGCCTGTTCTGTCAGTGGATGCCCTGGCACAACCCCCAGAGTACCCCTGGCTGATAGCCATGGAGTTAAAGGCACTCTCCTGATTTATGTCTGCCCGGTGGCACTTACTTTGCTTTGCGCTATGATTCTTCTGACCAAATGGATTTCTCCCTTATTAGAATACTGCTCAACTGTGGTTCTTCTACCCCTTTTGTTTCTGTGACCCGCTGTCCAGCATGCATCCAGCAAATGCTTCTAGAATTTGAAGGTCAGCTTCTGAATTAGAATGAATCCACTTCTTCAGTCTCTAACATTTCTCCAGGCAAGGTCTCAGTTTTCGTATCTATTAAATGGGTGAGTTTTCTCAAAGGCTCTTTTGACTATAACAAATGGAGGTTCTGTCCCAATGCAATCAGCCGCTATAGCCTGTGGAATGTAAGTGATGAGGAGAGAGGGCACGTGGGGCTGAGTGGATGGTTAGATAAACCACACTGGGGAGTCTTTGGCTGTGCCTTTCTGATTCCCTTAGCTGCTTCCAGCACCTGCTGTCTGTGTTGTTCTGAACTCTGACCCTGAGCACCTCACCCCTACCTGGACCCCACTGCTAATGCCAGCAAGGAAGACTGAGTCATAGAGCCTTGCTTCTGGGTCTCTCTGGGTGCACAGTGCAGCTCTCCATCCCAGTAAGTTATCAGGCAGGGCATTGGATCTCATCTGCTACACCATCACTGTTGACTTGGGAAAGCATCCTAGGGGCTGAGGATTGATCCTAAATCTAAGAGACTAGGACCCAGCTGGGGACAGCCTCCTTTTGCCCCCTCTCATTCATGGTTCAGGTTTCGTTCTCAGGCCTTCAGGCTGCCATTGGGCCTGGGATCTGTAGGTGTCTGGCTGTGTGTGTGATCTGGGGCAAGTTTGTTAATAACCACTTTTGGATCTCAGTTTCCTCATTTGTAAAAATGTGATAGTAACAACTTCCAACCTTAATAATTAAGTGTGGTAGCTGTCATTACTGCTTTCATCAAATGATGGGACACTTTCCTATGTGTACCTAGCATGTGGTCTTGTGGATACTATGAGGTAGAATAGGTCCTCTGTATTTGAAGCAGGCCAGGCTTGCTTTTGATCGTTCATTCATTTATTCATAAACTTTTATTTAGCATTTGCTGTGTACCAGGCACTAGCACAGATCTGGGGATACAACTTCATGAGCTTTGGGTCTAGTAGGAGAGCCTGGGATTGGACAGTAGTCGTGCAGTAGTCACATGGTGGATCAAGATAGTGGTGGAGAAGGTTGCAGTATGCTGAGTGCAAGAAGGTAGGGGCTAATGTGCTCAGGGATGCCAAGAGCTGAAGGGCGAAATGGAACCTACTGAGCAAGGAACTGGAATAAGGACATTCCAGGCCAAAAGAAAAATTGGAAAGAGCTTATTCAGTTCAAGGAAAAACACTGAGGCTGGAGGGGGAAAGGGAATGGAGTGAGATGGGCGTGCAGAACCAGGGTGTGCTAATTCTCACTGTGTACTTATCGGGTCAGTCCCTTAACTTCTCTGAAGACTTGTTTGCTCTGACTGCCAGCTTCACAAAGGTGGGATGAAATGGAGAGAGACTATGGATGTGGACAATAAATGTAGGAGTTATACTACAGCAGTTAGTTTTTCTTTCCACCGATGTGTAGAATGTGGCCAGAGTAGCGAAGGGACTTGACCCATGTCCTAAGGTCAGGTCTCCAGGCAGCAGGGCTTGGAGTAAGAGTATATTCACTAATGACGTATTTCCTGTCCCTCTGGGCCACTTTACTTTCAAGATGCTGAAACTGAATCACCAGGAGAAGGACTTCTAATCCCTAGTGTATCCCCGCAAGGGCTTGTGCTGCTTGGGTTGAGGGGCAGTCTCATGGGTGACTCTGTGCAGTCTCACCTCCTGAGGACACCCTCAGTGGGTGATGCTGGTGGGTCTCCTGTTGATTGAGGCCAGCTCTAGTACCCACTTGGAAAAAGTACTTGCAACTCTCCCAATGAGAAAGTAGGAGGAGCTGCTACAAAGAAAGTAGTGAGCTCCCTGTCACTTGAGTCTTTAAAAGACAAGCTGGGTAGCCTCACCTTCTGGAAAAAGACATACAGTTTGTGGCAAGCAGCTTGCAAACTGTGCAAACTGCTAGTGGTTGTGATAACTTGAGGAGGGTTTGGGGGAGATGTATGTGGTGACCCCAGAGTACCTTCTAGCTGAGGAAGTCTGAAGGTTATTAAATTCTGAGGTTCCTGGATTCTAAGATGCAGATTTAACTGCATCAAAGACACAGCGACTGTGTTTGACCTCCAAAGCTCTAGTTGCCTAGCTCCCCATCACTGCTAATGCTCTTCTCTACCATGTGGTGAGGGTATGTTGGGAGCTCTTAAGGTGTAGATAGGAGAGTTGGAGCCCAAAGACCTGACTTTGTGGCCTGACTCTGCCACTTACTATGTGGCCTGGGCCTCTCTGAGCTGCATTTTTTCCATCTATAGAGTGAGGATGTTGGAACCTGCCCAGATAATCTCTTAGGATTGTTTTCAGGAATCAAGGAGGTACAAATGGGCAAGAAAATATTTTGCAAGCACTAACATCCTCCATTTCATGGGAAATTATTCTTAGCAATGAGCATTGAGGATGGCTGTGTGTTCGTTTTTTGGAGGAGCTGGGAGAAGGCAGAAGGGTGGATCCCCATAGATTTGAAATGTTAAGAAATGGGCTTCTGTGAGGATAGGAAGGTGTGATCACATCTACTCTGAGCCAGGCTGCCTTACTTCCCTGGAGGTTCTATACACACGTGTTTCAAGTACATTCACTTTCGATGTTAGCTCCACAAGGGCCCAGATGAATCACCGAGACCACCCCCTATCAGATTGGATCAAGGGAAGCTCCAGGTCATATAGTGGGAATTCCAACCCTGACTGGTCTTACTCTGTGGCTTGTGTTCCTTCTATAGTGTGACACAGCCATAAGCTTTTGGTTGCTAATAGTGTCTAGTTTGGGACACAGGTAGGTAAGAAGAATTCTGTTGTGTGCCAGGCTCTGGGCTGGGCCTTGTCAGGGGCACGTGCTGAATAAGACTTACTGGGATCCTGGAGTGTGTAGGAGCGGAGCTAGAAGACATGTTTGTGGATAAACCGCCCACCAGTGAAGTGGACGGAAGAATGATTGGGCACTGTGGAAATCCAAGGTCCTGGAGGAAGTAATGAAGACTTGGGTCAGACCTTGAAGGTGAGATAATGGTTAGGCTGAAGTCCAAAGTGCTAGGATATTAGAATTGGGGACCCCCAGACTACTGATCCTAGGACTTTTATGGTTCTTGTCACATGAATACTCTCAATGATTGTGCTTCCAGGGTACCAGGCTCTAGGCCAAGTAAGTCCTTTTCTCCTCACAGCAATCTGGTGTGGAGGATTTTAGTACTAGATTCATTTGACAGATGAGGAAGTTGAAGTTAATAATGTACCCAAGTGATACAGCTGATAGACTCAGAAACTTGTTAAATTTACTAAGGAGTCCCCCCCCTCCCAGCCTGTATTGCATTCTTTCCTATGCAAAAGACTGCCTTGTGCCTCCTCTCACCTGTGCCAGTTATGAGCTGAGTGCTGCCCAGTGAGCTACTCAGCCTTTCTGAGCCTCTATTTCTTCTGTAAAGCAGGCATGGCAGCCCCAGAGTCATGGGGACTCTTCAGTGGGATGATGCTGGTCACGTGCATAGTAAATGATGGTGTCTGTACCCACTCATTGTCCAGCCCTTCCATACTTCTCACAAGCATTCATTTACTCACTTGCTCATTCATCTCATATTCTCTGGGCATCTCCTGGGTACCAAGCTGTGTACTGCATGTCTGGATGCAGTGACCAGCAAGTGAGACGGAACTGTGGGAGGAGGGCTCCAGTCTGTCTGATGGTGGGCAGTCATTATGGGCAGCAAAGCTCCCAACTGGTCCTTGCCCTGAGTCCTGACCATCCCTGTGGTAGCTGAGCAGTGACCTAACCAAAACC